AAGAATATGTTAGGCTGCAGTACAATGTTGAATAGAACTGGTGAGAGCTGACACCCTTATCTTGTTCCCAATCTTAGGGGGAAAATATTCAGTCTTTTCATTTGCGTATTATGTTAGCTGTGGCTTTTTTGTAGACAGATACTCTTTCTTTAGTTGAGGAAGATGCCTTCTATTCTTAGTTTACTGAGAGTTTTTATCATGAACTACTCACATTTACTTTCTATATCATATTCTGTTTCTTTTTATATGTTTTATTTATTTGAGAGAGAGAGAGAGAAACATTGATGTGAGAGAGAAATATTGATCCACTGCCTCCCACATGCACCCTAACCAGGGACGGAACCCACAACCCGGGCATGACCAGAATCAAACCTTTGACTCTTGGTGCATGGGGCAACCCTCAACCAAGTTGAGCCACAGAAGCCAGGGCAATATTCTCTCAGTTTTTATTGTGTTCCCATCATGTTTTAAACACCCTAATGAGTCAGCACCATTACTATTTTATATATGCAATAATTGTTTCAATATTCCCATATGTTGATGATCAGCTTCTGTGCCATTTCTTCCTGCAGTCTACTCTGTCCTGGGTTTAACAGACTTATTCCTACTGTTTCTCCGGTAACTTTCTATAATAATTATAAAGAGAGGTGATAAATTCCCACTTCTCTCCTTCTTTTCTTTTTCTTTTTCTTTCTTTCTTTCTTTCTTTCTTTCTTTCTTTCTTTCTTTCTTTCTTTCTTTCTCTCTCAAACAGGTCTATTTTTGTGATTTTAAAATTTGACAAATTTTCTTCTTCCCAATCAGTTCAGCACACTGTGGGTTTGGACATGGCTAGCTCTGCCCTGAAAACTCCCCCAGGCCCCTTTGCTCCCCTTTCTGATCTGACCTCTTTCCAGGTTTTGATATTGTGACTTGTCTCCTTCCAAGCTCTCACCTCACCCCTCAACCTCTTGCTCAGCCTGGGCCGGTGGCTTCTCCCTGTAACCAGAAACGGGGGAGGAGCCTGCAATTGAGGTATGTGCCTTTGAACAGAATCAAACCCGGGACCCTTTGGTCCACAGGCCAACGCTCTATCCACTGAGCCAAACTGGCTAGGGCCCCACTTCTGTTTCTAAAAATGTTTTTATTTAGCCCTCACTTTTAAAAATATATATATATATATATATTATTGATTTTTGACAGAGAGGAAGGGAGAGGGATCGAGCATTAGAAACATCGATCAGCTGCCTCCTGCACACTCCCTTCTGGGGATGTGCCCACAACCAAGGTACATGCCCTTGACCGGAATCGAATCTGGGACCCTTGAGTCCGCAGGCTGATGCTCTATCCACTGAGCCAAACCGGTTAGGGCATAGCCCTCACTTTTAAATAATAACTTAGATGGGCATGGCATTCTGGGTTACAGGTATTTTCTTTCAGCCCTTTCAAAATATTATTGCTGTGACTTCAGATGTCTCTTGTTCATGTTGAGAAGTGTGCTATTAGCATAAATGTTGTTCCTTTTGATATGATCTTTTACAGTTTGTGATGTTATCTTGTCCATCTCTGAACATCCTAAAGCAACTTATTGACATTTCTTTTAAGTCACTTATTATACTTTATATTATTTAGTCATTCTCCATTCTTTAGTTGACTTTCCTTGAATTATTTAGTCATTTCATATAATTGCCTTACCTCTACCATTAGAGAACAAGTTACCTGACAATGGACTAAATGTTGTACACCTTTTTCTATAAGGAGGCCCCATGTTCTCTTATGGAATGGGGAGTGGCACATTAAAATAAAAATAAAAATGCCGTTATCTGAGTTTAGCAACAGAGGCTCGTCTCAAAGAGTGCCTATGTATCAACTTTTGATAACTGGCTAATATTTAAGTACAAACAACAAGTGAGAAAATTGTCTGTGCATTGACTGTACTATTCACAGTTTATTGTTTGGCTTTCAACAGATGGTTGGCATTTATACTATGGACTACTTAAACATCAAAAAGGTATTTGCTAAGCTCAGCAAAGTTTTCATCTGCCAACATGGGAATTTATTAGTGCGTATACAGATCTGACTGCGTGAATTTATTGGGAAGGGGAACACTCTCAATTATTCCCCAAGTATATAGTCTAAGCTGTTTCCATCATCAGGGTTCAGGCATATCTGAGCAACTCTGAAAAAAATAGGACAACAGCCATCTGAAATCTATTTACATGGAAAGACGTGGAGCCTCCTGTGAATAAACTTATTGTCCACGTTTAGACAAGAGAAGATGAGGTAGCTTGATCTTGAAACAAAATCTTGGTGCTTAGAAGAGAGGAGTAATTTTGAATGCACCACAATTCCCGAGACTGGGAATTATCCCTAGCTCAGATCACCATGGATTCTCATCTGGGCTCTAAGGAGAGAGAAGGCTGTTAATAAAAATGAAAGCACCGCCCAGTCAACATGGCTCAGTGGTTGAGAGAGTCGACCTCTGAACCAGGAGGTCATGGTTCAATTCTGGGTTGTGGGCTCAATCCCTAGTGTGGGTTGTGCAGGAGGCAGCCAATCAATGATTTTCTCTCATCACTTATGTTTCTCTCTCTCTCTCTCTCTCTCTCTCTCCCTCCCTCTCTCCCTCCCTCCCTCCCTCTCTGAAATAAATAAGCACGTCTTAAAAAATGAAAGCACCTGTTTATTTTAAAACCACTGACAGAATACACTGCAGACCATTTTAACCCTCTGACAGAGTATATCACAGCTAATGGACAATGAACTTTGGCATCTCCATATTACCTGTACATTCATCACCTGCTATATGCAGAAACAGCAGCAACAATGCACACAGAAGAGCTGCCTGACAAAAGGGGCAACACCCAGCAAAACGAGCAACAATGGGTGCAGTGAGGCAACCAAAGGGATGAAAAAACGGACAGAAAGTAAATCATTGAAGAATGGATTTATGATGTGATATACTATTGTCTACTAATAAGACATCTCTTGAGCACCCTAGAAATATTTGGAGGGAGTTTAACAGAGACAGGGCCAGGGAAGCACATAGTACTAGGATCAGGGCTAATTTAACAATATGGTCAAGGTATGAGAGAGAGGAACAAAGTCTCAAATTAAGAATGGTGGGGAAGTACTACTTAGAAAGGTGAATGCGTAACGTATTCCCCAAGTCTTCAATGCAGCCAATTTTGTTAATCAGCTACGTTGAAGATAATTACACTCAATATGAATGTGTTGTTTTCAAATTAAGATACTTTGACTTTATGAAAACATTTGATATTTTAACAACTGAAAGAGTCCTACATTTTCCTCTAGTTTAAGGCATTTTAACAGCGATGAATAGAATGCCCGCTGATGTCTTCCACAGAATGACAACCAAGACGATAAAATGTCATCCAAGGTATGGGGGTAACCCTAACGTTTAATCTGACTTCAAAACAAAACATGTCATTTTAGCATAAAGTAATACTTTGCACTTACCTTCCTCGGAGGTTTTCGAATTGTGTCAGGGCAACATCTTTTCTCCGCTTTTCTAGGTCAGAGAATGAACACATAAACTTACGTGATTTGCGAGCCTAAGTCCCAAATGAAAGCCTAGACCTCGTCTCTCCTCCTGTCATTTTTGCAGAAGCAGCGCTAACCCTGACCCTCACGTGGGGGTTGGGGGCAGCCAGCAGTGTCAGAGCCGCAGACACGGTGAGGAAGAAGGGGCCGCGAGGAAAAGAAAGAGCAGTGAGCCAGAACTCTGAGCGGAGCAGCCACCTTGTAGCCTCTGGGCGCTCAGACAGGCCCCCGCACCTTCCCCCTTGTACCCTCTGGGCGCTCGGACAGGCCCGCGCACCTTCCCCCTTGTACCCTCTGGGCGCTCAGACAGGCCCCGGCACCTTCCCCCCGGCTGCAGGGAGGCCGTTCTAGACCGGGGTGCGCGCAGGCTCCAGCGGGGGGCGGAGGCCGGGAAGGGCTGCAGGAGGTGCCTCGCACCCCAGTGGTTTCCTGGCTGTAATTTTCCGCCAAGAACAACCCAGCGGCGAGATGTAGCCATGCCAAGCACTTCAGGTATCGGCTAAACGGCCCCCTCTTCTTTATGAATTTGTATTATTTATAAGACACTTGACACATGTTTAAACACTTACATCGCTCCTCGGTTTCAGGAAACATGGCTTGTTCAGCGGAGGGGAAGAAAGCATATAATGAGGGAGTTAACAAGGGCTGATATTTTTTTACAACATTCTTTTAAAACTGAAAAACCTCTTTAAACACCGGGAACGGCTTAAATAGCTCGCGCTAGGCCCGCGGGGCCCCTGTGGACGGGTCCCTCCTGGACGTGTTCCACCCGAGTG